ATGGGGTCAAGAAGCTGCATCATGACTGAGCTCAGAGTTGCAGGGACCTACACAGTGTCGGGGTGTACTCAGGCCCACAGTGCTGCTGGGGTGATGTGACCAGAACACAAGTCTCTCCCACTGGTGTGCAGCTCTTTATGTTCTGCCAGGCAGGTCTGCAGCCCCCATTTTCTAACACCAGCATGGAGATAGATGTGTTGCCCCAGGTTGTGGGTACAGCGATAGAAACAGGACCTTGAACACCAAGGGTCATAACAACCTATGCCCCACGCCCCCAGAACACACAGCCTTAGGATGCACTGCAGGGGTACAGGGCAGCTCCCTCATGCCCACTCCAAGGCTGGCACTGACACAAGCCAAACACTGCCTTCTCACTGGTCTCTTGGTGATAGTGAATGAAATAGCACAAACCAACCTGTCCTGCCGGTAGCAGCTTAATAGAGGTCGAGCAACCTTGTGCTGTGGAAGAGCAATGAGTGGGAGATCCCCCATGCCAGCAGAGATCAGAGTGGGACCAGCTGACTCCACCGTGGTGGAGGGAGCAGCACAAGAAGACAGAGACACACCAGTGGACTGGGAACAGAGAAGGCTGTGCAAGGACCCTGAGAAACCAGCTGAACACGGGACAGGGAGCAGCCTCACCTTGCCTCTAAGCACCACAGCAACTGGGACAGCAACACAGGGACACACAGGGATTGTTTTGTTTTGTTTTAGGTTGTTACCTCTATTTTGCTTCATTCTATTCATCTTCTTTGTCTCTTTCCTCAGCTATTTCTCTTGATGATATTTTCATATAAGAGAAATTGTCTCTAATCATTCTGGTCTGCTTTGATAATGTTTTGCTTTCTCCTTCATCCTTTCTCTCCTGCCCTCTTCTCCAGTTTCACAAAGCTTCTGTGATCATCCTTTGTCCTCCAGCCTTGCTTCTACTATATTTTTCTTCATTCATCTCTCTGTTTTGTCCCCTATCCCTCTTAAATTTCCCCACCACAAGGTTAAAATCATCTACAAAGGGGAAACTCTTTACATACAATTTTCTGAATTATGACAGATTTTCCCTATGGTTAAAGGTACCAAGTTAATAGTTACCACAGGTTTGTCAGGTTTTGGGCTGTACTTGACACTACTGCTATTGCTAAATGTACTACATTATCCAGGGTGCCATATCTACTGTAATCACTTATTCTCCCTTGTATGCCAACACTGTGTTTGTCTGGGGTCATAGCCATTCCTGGTACCACAGTCCAGTACCAAAGGACTAGGGCAGAGCCAAACAGACAGCAATATCTAATTGTTAATAAATTGGGAAGGCTGGATCTCAGGACAGACACAGAGACCAAGAACCACCTACACCTAGAAGGTATTTCTGAGGAACAGGTATTTCCTAGGGAAGCCTCAATACTAGTGATAAGGCTATTTACTACATGAAATTTACAAGCATCAAAATGGAAAAAATATTTATAGTGGTAATTCTCATATAAGAAAAATTCAGTCAGCTTAGATAAACAATATTGAACCTCAAACTTCTAGAAAAAGAAGAACAAGTCAAGCCCAAAGCTCATATAAGGGAGAAAATTATAAAAAACAGAGCAGAAATGAATTCAATTGAGAATAAGAAAACAATACAAAGAATCAATGAATCAAAGAGTTGGTATTTTGAAAGATTAAAAACGTTTATAAACCCTTAGCCAATCTTATCAAAAAAAGGAAAGAAAAAACTCTGATCAATGCAGTCAGTAATGAAGAGTGAAATCACAAAAGATCCTGTGGAAATTCAGAGATCAATACCTACTTCAAAACTTTTACTCTAATAAGATGGAAAACACAGAAGAAATGAATAGAGTCTTAGATGCATATGAAGTATCAAGGTTGAATCCAGAATATATATATAGGGGCTGGGGATTTAGCTCAGCACCATAGCACCTGCCTGGCAAGCACAAGGTTGTGAATTCGATTCCTGATACTGGAAGAAAAAGAAAAAGAATACATATAAATTCTAAATTACCTAATATCAGTCAATTAAATTGAAAATGTAATTAAAGATTTAGCAACAAAGAAAAGCCCAGGTCCTGATGGATTCACTGCTAAATTCTACATGAAATTTAGAGCAGAACTAATGTCATTACTCCTTAAGCTCTTTAAGGAAATAGGGAAGTCATTCCTGGAAGCAAGTACTACCCTAATACCAAAATCAGAGAAGCACCCAACCAAAAAGGAAAACCGCAGGCCAATCTCCCTAATGAACACAGACACAAAAATCTTCAATAAGATACTGGCAAACAGACTGCATGAAATAATTAAGAAGATTGTTCACCATGACTAAGTAGGATTCATCCTAGGGATGCAGGGATGGTTCAACATACACAAATCACAAAATGTAATATACCATATCAACAGAGTCAAAGACAAAAATCACATGATCATCTCAACAGATGCAGAAAAAGCATTTCATAAAGTCCAGCCCCAATTTGTGATAAAAACTCTACGGAAATTTGGAATCTCAATCTGTTAAAATACATTTATGACAATCCAACAACTAGCATCATACTAAATAGTCAAAAACTGAAAGCTTGCACTCCAAAATCAGAATCAAGACAAGTTTTTTCTTTCTACTATGACCTCAATATTATTCTGGAAACATTAATCATAACAATTACACAAAAGAAAGAAATAAAGGAATAAAGATAGGAAAAAAAATTTAAATTATCATCACTTACAGATGACATGATACTCTACATTAAAGATCCCAAAAACTTCTACATTTAATAACCAAATTTAGTTCCATAGCTGGATACAAAGTCAACACTCAAAAATCAATAGCATTCCTGTATACAAACAAACTCACTAAGAGAGAAATTTGGGAAAAAAAAAAACACCTTGCATAATAGCATCAAAAAAATATTTGGAATCAAGCTAACAAAGGAAAGGGGCTGGGGACTTAGCTCAACGGCACAGCACCTGCCTCAAAGTGCAAGTCGTGAGTTCATTTCCTGGTACCAGAAGAAAAAACAAAAAACAGCAACAAAAACAAAAACAAAAAAAAACCAAACTAAGAAAGGAAGTAAAAGATCCTTACACTGAAAACTACAGCGCCCTAAAAAAAAGACATCAAAGTGGGCATCAGAGAACGGAGAGATGTCACTTGCTCTGGATAGGAAGAATGAACATAGTGAAAATGGCCAGACTCCCAAATTGCTACGCAGATTTAATGCCATCTCATCAAAATGCCATTAGCACACCTCACAGAACCAGAGAAAACATTCTTGAAGTTCACTTGGAATCAGAATAGACCTCAAATAGCAAAAGCAATTCTAGGCAACAAAAGCAAGACAGGGGACAGCACAATCCCTGATTTGAAATTATACTATAAAACTATCCTATTAAAACAGCATGTTACTGGCAAAAAAAAAAAAAACCAGACCTGAAGATTGATGGAACAGATTAGAAGATGCAGAAATAACTCCAAACACACTCAGTTACCTATTTTTGACAAAGAGGCCAAACACATTCACTGGAGGAAAGATAGTTTCTTTAATAAATGGTGTTGGAAAAAGTAGTTTTCCACATGCCAAAGAATAAAACTAGACCCATGTCTATTGCCATATACTACACTAAAATATAAATGGATCAAAAAATCTAAATATTAAAACAGAAACATTAAATCTGCTGGAAGATAAAACAGGTAGAACTCTTGAAAACTTCAGTGTAGGCAAAGATTTCATGAACAAAACCCCATCTTCAGGGAAAATGCTACAAAGAATCAACACCTGGGGTCTCATCTTACTAAAAAGCTTTTTGCACAGCAAAAGAAATCACCAACAGAGTGAAAAGAAAACCCACAGAGTGGGAAAAACTTTAGCCAGTTGTTTCTCAGGCAAAGGACTAATATCTAGAATATACAATGAATTCAAAAAATCAGAACCCTAAATTTAAAGATCCAATCACAAAATGGGCATCTGAGATGAATATACACTTCTCAGAGGAAGAAGTACAAATGGCAAATAAATATATGAAAAAATATTCAACATCACTGGTCATTCAAGAGAGGCAAGTTAAAATAAAACTGTGGCTCCATCTCCCTAGAAAGAATGGCTATCATCAAGAAATCAATCAATAACAAATGTTGGTGGGCCTGTACGGAGAAAGGAACTCTTCCCCACTGTTGGTGGGAGGGTAGACTGGTACAACCACCGTGGAAATCAGTGTGGAGATGCCTCATAAAACTAGGATTGGAGGTTCCATTTGACCCAGCTATTCCTCCTCTTGGTACCTTCTTCAAAGAAAAGCATCAGATCACAGGGATATATGCACACCTATGTTTATAGAAGCACAGTTTGTAATAGCTAAATCTTGGAAACAGCCCAAATGCCCATCAACCAAGGAATGGATAAAATGATGTGGTTTACTTTTATACAATGGTATAGTACTCAGCCACAGAGGATAAACCAACACGTATAGCTAAACGCATGGACCTTGAGACCATACCCTTAAGTTAAATAAATCAGACACGCATGTGTAAATATTGCATTGTCTCTCTGGTGTGAGAAACTGAAAGCGTAAATAAGAATGAAAATGTATAACAGTTATTGTGAAACAGGAAGAATTGTTCAAAAGAAAGGAGAAACAAGAGGCAGGAGGGGTAAGGAAGGAATGGAAAAGAAAAACAATGAGAACTGAAGGGTAAAATGGAATCAAAGCTGTTTAAATAAAGAGGGGAGGGGACTGGAAAAACAGAGGAATCAAGATATACCATGCACAGGTACACATTCCCTATAACGACTGTGATCATTATGTATATCTAACTTGTGCCAAGAAACTTAATAAATCTTTGCATTTCTACGATATGTGAACAAATGGCTAGTTTTGAAGCCTTTCATTCACATTTTCAAAGGTTTTAGACTTTCATGCATTCACATATTGCACTCAACATTAACTCAAAGCTGGCAAAAAGCGGAGACGAAACTGAATGAATCCGATCAACTGTGCGGAAATAAACTGACCTTCTTAAAGTTTTTGTTGAGGTCAACCAGACTGAGCAGGAAGACGTGGTCTTTGGCTCCCAGGAGCAGCTTGCCCCTCTCCTCATCCAACAGAAGGGTCTGGAAATCCAGTCCCTCAGAGGAACCCAGGAAGGGGATGCAGCTGTTTGAAAGCAGCAAATCTGTGAAAAATGAAAGGAGAAAATAAGAAAAGCCTTAATTGATAATACATGTGCTTGTCTCTGAGACAGATGGAAGGACAGAGAGTCCTGCTTTGTGAAAAGCTCCACTTTAGGGATATGCTAACGATTATAATTTTTAACATATGCTCACTTAGAAACAAATGCAATGTATTACACTAGTATGAACAGGATTTTATGTGTAAAAGTACATATTAATATTGATATAAAACACGTGACTACCAAAACAATTAAATAAAAATATTTTATAAACTTCCCTTTGTATTCTTAAATGATAATACAAAGCATCAATCTATAATATCTGAAACTTGATCAAATTAATAAATATATATAAAGTATTCATCAAGTATTGTCACAAATCTCATACTATTCCATCCATTTCTACGTTTAGGAATAGACCTTTATCTTCACCGTATCTGTAACATCAGAGCAAGGTGCAGAGGCTCCCATGTGCTCCTTTCCTGCCCTCGGATTGCCAGTCTAGGACCTCACGTCGATAGGTCATTACCGCTCATAGTGCATAGTTTATTCTCAGATCCAGTCTTAATGTTGCTGAGCTTTATGGGGTGGACCAAGGGGTCGGGACTTGTGTCCTTCCTCACAGAGGAAGTCTCACTGCCCAGAAGTCCTCTGAGCTCTGCCTGTTCGTCCGAGTGTCCAGCTCTCAGTCCCTGGCAGCCTCAACTTTATGAGGTCTCCATAGCTTCGCCATTGGAATCATAAGTGCACACCTTGCCATCCTGCCATCCCTCACTAGTTAGCAGGTAAGTTTCCTCCCGGTCTTCAGAGCTGGACAGTCAGTGTTGGCAGACACTCTATAGTCTGGACGTGCTGCTGTGTATATTTATTCACTCTCCTACTGAGGGGCGGCCTTGTTGCTTCCAACTTTTGGCAGTGAAGAATAAAGTGCTCCTAGACATCTGTGTGCGGGATTTCTTGTGGCCATAAGTTTTCAACTTCCTTCTTAGCTAAATACCACAAAGCATAATTTAGTGGGTGGTATGTTTAGTTTTGAAAGAAAACATCCAGTGCCTTTCAAAACATCTGCCCATTTCCCCTGCTCTGGCACCGAATGGGCACTGCTTCCCGCATCCCTGTCAGAGTTGGCGCTGTCGGTAATCTGGCTGTGAGTGTGGCAGAATTTGCATTTCCTTTCTGACACTGAGGACGGGGCCTCTCTCCACATCCCTGTCATCTTTGGCGAGGTGTCTATAAAAGCATTTGGCCTGTTTTTGAAGTGTGCTAATTTCTTACTGGTATGTACCAACAGACCTTGGTATCTTTTGAATCACAGTTCCTTAGTGTATGCATGTGTGTGTGTGTGTGTGTGTGTATCAATCATATTATTTCCGAGTCTACAGCTTGTCTTTTCCCACTTTCATTTTTGATGGCATTTACAGTGATGTTTGCTTGGAGTAATTAAGGTGTCGTTATTTTAAATTTGCAGGAGGAAGACCAATCCAAGCAAATGAGTTCTGAAAGGGATGGCGTGAACTAGCAATGGAATGAAAATCACAGCGCTGGAAGTGACCACTAAAACTTTTTAAGGAAGAAAGTAGCAAAGTTCATAACTGATAGCCAGAAAGATACATCTGACTGCAGTGCTCAGGATGGAGAAGGCAGGGATGGGCAGTCCCAGGGAGAGTGCTACACAACCTGGAACACGGGAGCCCCACACTGCTGCCACACCCACTGGGGGAGGAAGGTGGCTAAAACCCACGTACCTTGTATTTGGTGTCTGCACACACAATGAGGAAAACAGGCAGCTGACATAGTGATTTGCTTTCTTTTATTTTACCACAACCTATTGTACTGGATTTCATTTCAAACAAATTTGATGAGGAAAAATAGCTGTGAAAATACTGACTACTCTGGCGTCTTATCACCTCCAAGAGATTTAATGCTGCCTGTGACAGCTGAGCCTCTCAACTGAGAAAGCTTCGCTAACCCTGTGTACCCAACTGAGTAGTTAGACTCAGGCACTACACAGGAGCGTCGCTCCAACTCAGGAACGGGGCTGGACCAGGTTCCCCCTCCCCAAACAGTTTATCTTTCTTCTTTTTTGCCAAGCGAAATCATTTTTATTTCCAAGGCTTCATTCACCAAAACCCAGAAAAACATCTGTTAACTCTTGGGACCACGTCTTAACACCTTGCATTCGCACCCACCCCAGATTTCAGAAATCAGAACGGGACTCTGGCTGTGCTGAATAGCTACTTCAGAACTTTGTTTTTCATTGTTTTTCCTCCTACAACTGGTCGTCAGAGGCACGTGGTGTTCTTCAAGGATTGCTCCTGGTTTGAACCTTCGAGGAAGGGGCTCCGTGCGTCTTCCCTGGTCAGAGGCGCATGGCGCTTCACGCGTACCGTCAGAGGAGCCTCCTCCGTGTGCGTCACCAGCCTGCCCTCCTTCGGAAGTGGGCAGCAATCACCTCTGGACCCTACCTGACTTCTCTGTTCCACATCCCTAACCCTCTTTGTTCCACATCCCTAACCCTCTGAGCAGCCCACCCTCACCATCCCTCAGCAGTGCATCCTTTATCAGCTGCTCCAGCTGCAGTCCCACTCAGCAGTCCAGGCTCTCAGATTCCCACATTTGCTCTAAGGAGTTCGCGTTTAGAAAATGCACAATCTGAGTGCTTGGGAAATAAATGAAATAGACATGACACTGATGCATTCCTTTCACTGTAATGTGGATGTGTCCACTGGTGACGCATATTGTTGCTAGGGTTTTCGGAGCTCTCCAAGAAGCATGGACCAAGGCCAGGTTTGGCTCTGCAAAGAGCTCTCTGTCCACCCCCCCGCCCCCGGGTCCTCCAGCACAGTCACTCCTCACTCAGGCTAAAGGAGAGTTTGACCTGAGGGTCTGCCTTCTTCCTCTCCACCCCAGAGTGGAAGGGAGCAGTTACCACACTGAAGCCAACAAATTTATGACTAAGTGGCACAAACTTCCTCCCAGTTTGACTGCTGAATGAACAAGGTACTACATCCTTGACACCTGCATTTCCTCCCCCAAAACCCTGAACTCACCGGGACTGACAGTTTCTCCCATAGGATGGCATCACTACAAAACAGTCTCCCACATCCTTTAAAGAAGAATGGTAAACTGAAAGAGGGAGGAGAAGAAGAGAGAGAGAAGAAGGAGGAGGAGGAAAAGGAGGGAGAGAAAAAAAGGAGGAGGAGGAAGTGGAGGACGAGAGGAAGGGGGAGAGAGGGAAAGGAGGGAGAGAGAGCAAAAAAGGAAGAGAGGAAGAGGAAAAGGGGGGAAAAGAATATCAAGGTTGTCAAAGGCAGAAATTTGTGAGGTAAAAGGAAAATCAAGTTTGGAGAAAGTCAATTTTAAGTTTACTCCCAACGAACAAGCAGCCTCCCTCAGCAGAGAAAGTTTACAGACAAAAATAGACACAGATAAAAACCCAGTCACCTCTGTGAGCCAGGACAGGATGTCCCTGTGCAGAAATCTCACCCAACTCACCCTCTTTTCCTGAAGGAAACAGCAGTTTTACCACTGGGGCCATCTGAGGACTCCATACAGTCAGCCTCCAAGTTCCCTGCAAAGGGGGTCCGTAGCTGCCCCTGAGCCGCACAATCTCCTGTCACCCCCGCCTTTCTCCTAAATCCCACTCTCCCTTCCCCGGCTTCCACAAGGTTTCTTTCTGAATTAGCATCCTAACCGCTCCAGGAGAGAGCTCCTTTACAACCTCTTCCCGTGCTTCCTAGAAATGCCTGGACGACTCACCCACTCCCCGCACAGGCTGGGCCTGGGGTCTGGGTCAGGTGGGCTGCAGGGGCAGCAGATCCCACTCCGCCCACAGTGAGGGTCCAGCTGCCGGCCTGGTCCCTTCCACTCCCTGGGGACGTGGACATTGCTCCTCTTTCAGCTGGCAGGGGGAGGGAGCACCTGGGTTCTCCCAGGGATTTAACCTCAGGGAATTCATTTGTCTTACACTAGCTACCCTGATTTCCAACAGGTTTTCTGAGGTTTGAGATCATGTGAAATATCTGGGTTATCAAAATCCGCCTACACAAAAATGCCAGTTATTACCCCTATGTGCATTCAGAACAACTAGCTCACTATTCAAGTTATTTATGCCCTATAGAGAATATCAGTCAACCTGTACTTCCTACAAAGGACTGTTTCACAATTACAGGTGTATATCACATTATCCTTATGTTTTCCAAGGTGAAATATCCAATCCTAACCATTTCCTGTACATTCAAGGCCAAGTCAAATAGAAGAACAAAATTCAAATTTTCATTTGCGTTTCTGCAGTGGAAATTTGGAGAGCACCTCGTTCAGTATGTCTTAGAACATTATCTACATCCATAATAAATCAGATGATATCACACCAGGAAACATAAATTAGAAACAAATAAAGCCTTTTTTGTCAGCAGATTTATGTTCTTCCCAGGACAGGATGTGAAGCAGGAATCCAGTTATCTCACACCGTCACATTTCCATCTCCACCCCATCTGTAAGTCACAGGTTGATTCTTACTTGGCTGGTGTTCAATGACACGTGCTTTATGTAATCCATCTCATGTGAGGTTCATAATTTAGAATTACGAGTCCTTTTAAATTCCTACCTTCAGAAAGAACAAATCATCCTAAATTTTTAAAAGCATTGGTATGATTGATAATTTTTATATTGACCTAGAAAAAGACTAGATATAAATATTACTTTTATCAAAATGCAATATCTTGGTAGAATAAACTTGGTCAGAAAGAGCTAAGAGGATGCTCCCAAGGAAAATTGCTTCTATTGTGACAATTACTTTCTTGGCTCCCTTAAAGATACTTAGACTGTTTCCCGTCTCAAATTTCAGGGAATGTTTAAACTCAACACTCAGTCACATAGGAACGAGGATTTGTTTCAATCAAGTATGTGAATTTAATTTTTAAAAAGGCCAGTGCATCACAGCTTAACATAAGAACTACTGTTACTCTAAGCAGCAAGACAAATATGACAAGAAAAGGTAATTC